AGCTCGGCCAAGCTGGTCCACTCGTATCCGCTTGAGAACTGTTGACTTCAATGCTTGAAAGGATGAAGGGCGGCACGATTGCAATGACCGGCTTATAATTAGATCCGATAAGCGCGGCGGGCCCATCCCGGCCAGATGTGCACTCTTTAGCCGAGCTGGGTTGTTTCAATTCTTGACGGCTCTGTCTGGAAGAGGGGTCTGCTCCATTGCCTTGGTTCGTGACTAAGAATCCCAAAAAATTCCCGGATCCCACGCCGAAGGCCACACTTCGAGGCGTTCAGGCGAAGCTTGTGCTCTTCAGAATGCGAGCGAACATCTCGGCTAAGTCGGACAATTGGTGTGGCCTCATTGTCGGCTCTTTACCACCATACTCATCTGATGTAAGCCTCCATTGTCCGGGCCGATCAAAGGAATGCGACATTTTTGGTCACCATCCTCTGAAAGGTTGCCCCGGCGTTTTTCAAACCAAAGGGCATAACTCGATAAGCAGAAGAGTCCCCTTGGAGTCAGTGAAAAAAAAAAGAGGGTTGGGTTTGGGAAATTTTTCTTTTTTTCTTTGGTTTCAGGGGGGGCCCCCCCATCATGGCAATCTGTGTGATAGCCGCGGTACGCATCCAAGAAACTGAGCCGGTTTGTGTCCAGCCGTCAACCACTAGCTGGTCAATGCGCGGCAAAGGGAAGCTGTCTTTTGGACAAAGCTCGGTTGACTGTCTTGTAGTCGACACAAACTCGCCACTTTTTCCATTTTTCTTGGGCACTTACTACCGTGTTGGAATCCACCAGAGGTAGTGCACTTCCTTATTGCTCTGCCCTCAAGCAAGTTCTTACCTCCTGCTACTACCTCGGATCGTGATGCAGCGCCGATCTCCTGTTCGTTGGATGACTGGCTTGCTCCAGAGAAGACATTGAGGCGGTGATGGCCCAGATAAAGCATTGGGTCAAGACCAGGCATGTCGTAGGGCGACATGCAAAGACTTCGATGTTTGCCATCAAAACTCAATCATCTCGGCATTCTCTCATTGCCGGAGGACTTGAACCGGAGAAAAGGGCAAAAAGGGAAGAATCTGTCGGCTGCTCGGGATTCATCCGCACCTAAACCCCAATTCTTCAAAGCCTTGTCTTCTGCCTTTGGTGCCAACTCATCCAAGACACTCGGTCCTCCGGTCCCTCAATCATTTAACGAATCCTTTGGCAGCCCGGCCTCCCGTTAACCGCCCGAAGACTCTTGGACATGACTGATCACCCCAAATCTCCTCGCATTTGCCCCATCAGCGAGGGAATCTCATCACCTGAGTGGTGCTTAGGTCGATGCTACGGCTTGCAATGGCGTGAAAGCCGATCCTCTTCCAAGGATAAGGTTGTTACGTTGAAAGGCATATGTAGCACCCAAAACTCTACTTGCTTGACACGGATCCCGCTTTGACCGCAGGATAATCTTCCGCAATGGCACTCCGGCTGCGAGTTAAATCGACAGTGGCGAAGTGGCCGGAGCAAGTCTGTCTCCACGGAGTTTGATAGCTGTTGAAACGCTCATAATACATGACTCATCGACCGAGCTTCACGCTGATCGATCAAGATCCGTCAACATACAAATTCTTTGACGCGTAGTTTACTACAAGAGATCGTTGGTGCGGCGTCTGGGTACGCTCTAATCTCTTGAGGAGAAATTATCACGTCTTTCTCTTCTGTCTTCCCCCTCTTTGATGGCAAGGCTTGCACTGACAAACTTCCCTCATATGCTTTGCCTGTCGTGATCATGCCCCGGAGTTCGCAGACACGCTCCGGATTCCACGACTCGGTGTGCAATGACATTAACTAATCCTTCGTGGTGGTCGCAATCTTCGGTCATCCTGTCCCCTGGGACTCCGACCGGTAGCTCTGATCGCGTTTCACGCCGCCTAATCATATGTAAAGGCCACAGATGCCGCCGCAACCAGTTTTCCAAGTGTTTAGTCGCAGCAGGGCACAACAATCCTCAGTCCGGTGGCCCTCTCCGCGATACGACGGATACCGCGGATGTGCTAAGCCCTTACTTTGTCCAAGTGCGACCCAATCTTAGACGCGGTAAACAACTATATCTTCTCCTCGGTCTCTGGAACTTTCCTGATCTAAGTAGCGCGATAGTATTGAGATCTTGATAGACGGTACTGCGCGACGTCCTTGCCCTTTCATTCTTCTGTTTGCGTCCTCAAACGTTCAATCTCGGGGGTAATCATCCGCGTCATTCACGACGTCCTCTACACCGGTTTTTTCGATTTGAACACGATCGGTCTGTTTCCTCTGCTCGGTTCATTTGAGGGGTTGGACTCTTGTCCAACTGCGTGGCACTTTGGCCTGTGTCTTCTTGTCTGTTCCACCAGAGTGGCCTTCCGGTGGAAGCCGACGCATCATCCATCTACTCGGATCATGTGCTCTTGATGCGCTGCATTGAGCTGGCCCATGGAGGTCGGTTGGGGCAATGGTAAGCGAGTCCCGCAGTCTTATGTCCGACCGGGAGACCGCGCTTATATTGCGTGATAGCAAAGGTTGAACCGGGCAGTCTAAGAATACTCGTTGGAAGTTTCCCAATACCTTTGAATTTGTGCGCCTTCAGTGTGTCGCACGTGTCCATCTCTGCACTTAGCAGGTTGATCGACTTCCTTTGGGTGTTTTTGTGTTGGTTTTGAAGCGCGTAACAAACGCCTCGGCCAACTGATGCCACCTTTGTATGCTCCCTTACCGGCAACTCTCGAACCACTTTAAGCCCAGCTCGCCTAAAAACTTGACGGGAAGATTAGGCACATAAGTCCGTCATTGCGTCCGATGTCCGGCCAAACCTGTCGGAAGTGGCTACATGCATGTACGGATCGGTTTTCCCGTCGTAAAGTGTGAACATTAGGCTGGTGGAAGCCTGCCGGGAAGCGGTGTTGTTTCTATTTTCCAGGGAAAAAGGAGTGGCACCAGCCTGCCAAGTCTGTATCTTCAAATATTGGCATTGCTTGGCGGGTGGAGGCATTCCGACCTCCTCGCTGCCGTGAACCCCGTAGGAGAGCCGCTGGAAAGCTGGTATTCTCTGAGCTTCGCGCCAGCGAGCCCGCTCCTTTAACACTGCCGTAGGTCTCTGACTGAGCAGAATAAGAGTACCTCGACGTCGTCGCCGGACGTGAGGGTTTGTAGTGCTGTCTTGCGCGCTAGACTTTTCTGCACGCATTTCAGAATCACCAACCTGGACTTTCTGGTGATGAAATGGACTGTGTACGTCGCTGACTCTGATCGCCTGACAGACGGGTGGGTGTGCTCACTGTGGTTCCCACTCCAGTTACACCTTTCCCTTTGACATGCCGCTTGAGATCCTCATCTCGTCCGCCATCCACCTGATACAGGTCTTGGTCCCTCAACTTGCTTTTCCAGTCGCCTGGCGTGTGAGTCTCTCCGCCGGTGACCGTCTGGATCCGTGAATGCCCATGACTCCTCCGCGCTTATCCCGCGCGTCTCCTGACTGTTTCCTCCAGCAGGCGTCCCCAAGTCAGCCATTGGGTGGACAGCAGGAGGTCCCTCTCTCCTTCGGGTATACTCCGTGGTGGCTCGTCGATGGCGGACAACGGGAACTCCGTCGTTTGTTCGCCATGGACGGCGATCAGATGAACTGGAAGACAAGGTTTGTCTGAGAGAAGTTCCCACAGACGGCGCCAATTGTACGGGGAGCAAATATTCCAGCGTGCCCGTATTCCTTTCTTCCAAGTTCGTCGATATCCCGATCACCTGCGAGCAAATAACGGTGAGCTACCCGGCGGTGTGTGGCCGGAAACACCCTCGACGATCAAATTAGCACACACCTTAGAGGGAATAGAGAGAAGGAGTGAGTGTTTGAGTGTAAGGATTTCTTACAGAGTGTTCGTCTCTCCTGTTATGGGGGGCGAGACATGCTATATACCCTTCTGAGCCCATATCCACTCCCTGTCATCTCCTGACACGTGCGGCTCCGCTATCCATCTGTCAGCATAAACCATGCCATTCATCAACTGCTCTCAACTGCCTGTCAGCAAGCTGGAGCTCGGCAGCCGAGCTACCCTACCTCGGTCGTACCATGCTTCATACCTTAAGCGCCTAACCGGATAAAAAACGGTGGACCGGGCTAAGCGGCATCCCGCCGAGCCTAGCCTGGATGCTTACTTTGATCGGCGCTTCTCGCCGGTCAATCAACTACCTCGGACTGACCGGCCTTTCCGAGCGCCGGTCTCTCGGTCTGTCTGGTTTCGTCCATCCTCGGACCAAGCATCCTGGTCTGACCGGTCACTTCCCGACGAGCAACTTCTGCACGGTCCGGGGGGCACACAGTCCAAAACCTTGCCCGGCCCAAGTTCTGGTAGCCCATCTCCGGGTGAACAGTTGATCATTTCTGGCCCAATGCACTGCTGGGCCCTCAGCTTGCCCGGTCGATTACCCCGGCCCCAGCACCGGATTCATAAATCACCCTCTCATATACTTATTTTTATCTTTAGTGACTTGATTAACAAATAAAAAATTTAAATTTCTAGATTTAGTTCGACGAGATGA